TTTTTGCATTCAAATGCAAATGTTTATTTTAAATTCGACTAATATCAATTCTTTACTCACAATCTCCTCATCATAGGCAGGCACAGCACTCATGTTCCTGTGTGCTGTCTGCGTCACTCATAGCACGTGCCAATATCGTGCACTATATCGAACATTTTTTATATCGTTATCGAAGAAGGTGTGCCGTCGATAAATACCGATACCGTTTTATCGCCCAGGCCTAGTTGAACTGTTCTGGAACGGTGTTAAAAATACAACTTAACCACTGATTTCTAGTCGAGTCCTCTTTTGGAAGGCCAAACAAAGTAGTTTCGCTTTCACAACGAAACACACAGCGTCACACACAGCGGGCTGGAGTGAGGAACGGCCAGCGGATTCGACAAAGGAGCGGTCGGCGGGCTTGCGGCAACCACATGTGACGACCCGAGGCTGGACTCCGCTTCATCTCAAAGAGAAAGGAAAAATTTTAATCGCATCATATGACCTCTTTAAATAAAAATTGAAAGTTGTTGGAAGCTTAATGGTGGTGACTTTAAAATCATGCGACTGTAGTTCCTTTTTAGCCTAACTAGTTTATTACTTCTGCGGACTGCATTTAGGCTTCAAAATTCATAACACTTGCATTTATTTGTGAAGATTATCTTGATGAACAAAACATGTAAGAATCATAAACTTTTGTCGCTCATGAAGCTTATTTTCTGCAACAATCCAAAAGCCAATGGAAAAACCCTATTGTTTTTTTTTGTGGAGGATCTAAGGTGATGCAAACTTCCAGGTTAGCCAACGAAAACCTCTCATCCCTGCAGTGCTCTATATCACCCACCCTGAGTCAGCGGCATTTGCCTCACCTTGACATGCTCCTGCAGCTGTACTTCATGCTGGCGCGAGAGCTGCTCGTGCTGACGCTGAAACTCTGCAATCAGGATCTGCCTCTGTATCTGCTGTTTCTGCTTGAGGGCCAGGAGCTCCTGCTGCAGCTGCTGCTCGCGCTGGGCCGAGTCCATCGGCGCCAGGGCGAACTGGTGATCCACACGCAGGTCCATGGGGATGGCAGAAGGTGGCACTTGCAGTGGCAGCGCCGCACTCACATCAACTGCGGAAAGAGAAAGACTCAAATGAGAAAAACAACAAACTGTACAGTACTCAGTACATAAAGCTTTTAGAACTGTTTTCAACTTTTAGGAAAAGTTTTTCCAAGAAAACATTTAAATATCATTTAGACAAAACTTTTATGCTGCAAAAACAAGTCACAACAGAGGTCTTTTACATATAATTCTGCCGAAAACACTTATGTACAATGATTATGCATTTATATTATTTACATTAATTATATATTATACCTTTACCACCACATAACACTCCCAAAACAAACTAACATTTAAATTAAAATATATATATAAATACATTTGTTTTTATCAAATTAATAAAAACAAACCAAAAAATTATATACTAAAATTATATACTATCTATCTATCCATCCATCCATCCATCTGTCTATCAAGATAGATGCAGTATTTATATATATATATATATATATATATATAAAGAAAATGTTATTTTAGCTTCTTAGGCATCCTAGCTTCTTAGAAAATTATTTACATTAAAAACTTAGAAAAGCATCTAAGGGACATGGTTGGACACCTTAAATGGACACATATATTGAATATGCATTATGATTGGATGAGATACAAGCATCCTGATTTGATTTGGGTATAAATATTGAGTCAAAGTATTCTCCTCTTTGTCGCAATCTAAAGCCAACCCTGAATGGCTGTATGAATATAGACCTTTTCTTGCAAGAAAATAAAGAAAACAGAAAATAGCCACAAAAAAATATATATATATATATTTAAAAAGAATAAAATAATCCAAAATATAAAAATAATGTGAATTTGTTAAATGAATTTAATAAAAACAAGAACTAAAATAGAATTTTAATCATTATAAAAACATGTGCAAGTCATCATTAATAACAACAAAATAAAATAAAAATAATAATTCTAAATGTATAAATAAAATTGTCATTAATAAATGAATTAAAATCAATTAAAAGTGAAGCTTTTTTCATTTTTTAATTAATTCATTAATGTTTATTTAAATGTCATATATATACAATTAAATTTTGGATAAAATCATATGGTAAATTAATAAATGCAAATATTCATCATTCATTTTAATTTGAGTTAATCATAAAAATATAAATATAATAATATAAATGAAATAAAATTCAAAACAATTTTCATTTGAAATATGAACTATGAGGACAACAAGAATCGAAGATTTTAGATGAGAATGTGCAAGATGAAGTGATTACTGAGTTCACATGAGCCATCTCAAATCTTGCCTGTACCAAAAACAATGATAGTAAGAAGCAACTGTCCTATCAAAACCATCTTGAACATTCCTCAAAACATGCGGAGGGTACAGTACCGCGTCATCAGCATCATAGCGGCCATCAAAATAAACAGAGGAAAGAAACCTCATGTTCCTGCCACAGATCTGGGTTAGATTTACTGCTAGCGAACAGCGTCACTGGAATCAGGAAGCGGTCTGGCTTGTAGTGTTGTCACGGTACCAAAATTTCAGTATTCGGTACCAATACCAGTGAAAATCCACGGTTCTCGGTACCAATTTCGGTACCAAAGCAAAACACAAAAACATGCTAATTGAACAACATTTTTATTAATAACGTTAAACTAAAATAAATGTACAAAACCAATGCCATTCTTTATACTTATTTAAAAGTGTTTCAAGTTTTCCCACAAGTAATCACCGGTACTTAAGAAAACCTGGTACCGTAACGTTTTAATTTTTTTAGTACCGACTTGGTACCGAAATACCGGGTCTTTTGACAACACTACTGGCTTGCAACATCTTTCAATCATCTCCCTCATAACATATATATCTGAAGAAAACTAAGGAACTGAGCAATTACATTCCACAGCGAGGATGCTTGATAAGTTGATAAGTGTGTGCAACACCCAAAAGGTTTGGGGGTTAAATGAGCAATGAAATTCAACACAAGAACAAGTAGGCCATCATTAAGTGGCTTTTTATGTTTATTCCTTTTTTTAAACAATGTGTAATTACAATAACCAGACAATTTTACTTATTCAAGCACTCCTGCAAGTCCAGGAATCCTTAAATATATAACCAGCACACCACTATAAACTAGGATTTTTACCATTATTAGGATTGCTTTACATTATTTATATAATTTCTGTAGAATACTGCCCCTCTTTTCCTGGCTAAAACCAGGCCAAGGTGAACAAAGAAGACATGTGGTCTGCAATAAATAGCCTCCGACAGCATATTACGTCCAGACTGCTGGCGTGGGACCTCTTCATTTGTGCTTCACTGAATAGGAGAGGTTTTAGGGGGAACACTGAACACATTCATGCTTGAAGTGTCAGCTTCACTCTTGGGACGTCACGATGCCCTGAATGCCACAAGTTCAAGGATGCTCCTCTGACCCCACAGTAGACAAAACAAAAGTCCTCAGCGGAAGCCCTGAGGCCACACAAAGGCCAGCGTCAAAGGCTATTTACTATAATGGAATAAAAACTGCCCTTTATTCCAGACTAAATTGCTTCATAAAATCATATTTATGACGCACATCCTTGGTCACAAAGGGGCCGTTGATGCCCGGCCCCCTGAAACTGACCACTACGCTCTTTGGCAGCTCATGCTCAGCAGGACAGGAAGCCGTCAACTAGTGAACTACTTCCTCCACATTTACTTTGCATCAACAAGCGGTGATAAGAGAGTTGTTTATCCATGTATTTGCTGTCAAGAGACAGACTAAACATATTTTAAATTCACCACCCAGTCCAAACAAAACCCAGTGGCCAAAAAAAAAAACACAAACAACTATTAGCAGTAATTAAAATGCCAAAGAAAACAGTGCACAGTGCACCAGCAAACAGAAACTCTAATTGAATTAATAAACACTGTTCTAATGTCTTTCATTCACAAGGACTCATTTTGGCTTGCTGAAAATGTAATAGTTTAGAAGAGAGTTCAGAAGAGAACAACTACCAGCCCAAACCCAAATGGTGCACATAATGTGGCTCCTTATTAATTTTTTTGAGTGAGAATTTGAATTGCATTGGCCACAACCCACAGGAAGTTGAATTGGAATGACAGGAAGAGGAATTTAATGAATTGTAATCCAAAGAATTTCAACATAAATAATGCATTTTGGGAAATCTATCCATCTATCCATTTGTCTGTCTATCCATCAATCTTTCTAACTATCCATTCGTCCATCCATCCATCCATTCATCCATCCGTCCATATATTCATTTGCCTTTCTTTCCATCCATCCACCTACCTACCTATTTATCCATAGTATCTATCCATCAGTCTGTCTATTTGTCTTTCTATCCATCCATCAATCTGACCATCCGTCCATCCATCCATCCATTTACCTATAGTATCTATCCATCTATTGATTTGTCTTTCCATGCATCCATCCACAGTATCTATCCTTCAGTGTCAATCTATCCATTTGTCTTTCCATCCATCCAATCTATCCATGGGTCTGTCTATCCATTTGCCTTTCCATCATTCATCCATCAAGCAATCAGTCCATCCATCCATGTACAGTATATATCAATCCCTCCGTCTATCCATTTGTCTTTCCATCCATCCATAGTATCTACCATCAATGTCTATCTATTTGTCTTTCCACCCACCCATCCGGCCTATAAATATTCAGTTATGTCTCCACAAACTTTGCTTTTTAGTTATAGTAATTACAGTTATTTTAATATCTTTGAATTTCAGTTCATTTTAATTCTACGTCTTTACATTCAAATTCAATTCACATTCAGGAATTTAAAAAGCATTCTCAATTCAATTCTCACTGGTGCACAACTGAACTGAGAACTGTAAAATCCACTCCGTCAGCAGAGAGCGTGAAACGGTAAGATGAGCCTTCCCTGTGAGTAAAGCCCAGATACAGCGCTGCAGTTTGTTTACTAGTCTAATTATTCTTACAGGGAGGATTAGGTAACATTTACATTGGAAGTTTGCTGACAGGCCGAAGGTAATCCCGGTCTTTGCTGTGCTCTCTGAGGATAGACGCTTGATGCACAGTTAGGACATTAATAACAGCCAGGGCACTACATGTTACAGTTAGGAGACACACTGGGGACGGAGGGGATATGCATTTCTACCCAATTAGAATGATGCAATATAAGCGTAAAGAGAAATAATCACCCCTGCAGCACTAATTCTGCAAAAGGGGATTTGCTGACACGCACAGCGCTGGCCGAACATGCACGTGGATACACACCCACACACTCTACAGCATGATCTGATGGAGATTGATTCACCAAGGCCATGAATGCGGCAGTCAACAATTACACTATGTACCTTGCGAGGAGTGATACATCCTGGGACAGTGAGCACTCTGCACTGCTATCCATCAGCAATGCATCACATTTAAGTCAGGAAATGGGTGCAGGTGCAACTCTACTGAGAGCAAGTCCAGGCATCTCCACTGCACCAACGGTCCTGCCTAAAACAATAGCATCCTGTTCTACAATGCTCACTTAAACAAGACAGAACTTATGGGCAGGCTCACACACACGTGCACGGGTAGAACGCAACAGAAATTAAGGTTCAAAAACAGCCAGATAGAGCAGAATTCAGGGGTCTTAAGACATGCTTTTTAACTTGGCAGCTTCTTAAAAACACAATGCTCATAGTGGGACGCTCAACAAAAAACACTGTCAGCATAATAATTAAAGTAATGCCACCAAAAATATCAAAACTAGATTTAAAAAATCTATAAAAATGTCAAATTTATAAGAATAAATATGTTGTCTGTATATAGATCAACTGTATATAGACAAACATAACATTTAAAAAGTGAAAAAAGTACAAATATTATTTTAGATTTTTTTATTACACACACTCTCTCTCTCTATATATATATATATTTATATTCTATATACCTCAAAACTAAAA